CGGTTCAAAACACATGTAGATGTGGCACTTGAGGACATGGATTAGTGGGCATGGTGATGGTGTGTTGACAGGTGGACTTGATGATCTTAAAGGTATTTTCCAACCTTAATGATTCTATGATCCTATTTTTTTGAAGTACTATATTTTTACTATAAAAAACTTATTCACAGGAAAACTGCGTCAAGTTTTCAAATAATTAATGTATGCAAATCTCTTCACCAGGCAGGTACTTTTGACAGCGTATCAACTCTTTATGTTCACTTGGACTAACTAAATAAATCACATTTTCTAATTATTTCAATATAAAGTATGTTTACAATGCATTCAAATACTCTGGTAGCTGGATTTTTTTTTTCCCTTTTAAATTTTTTCCACAGCCTTAAGTACTAACATGAAGACATAGACTTCAGCAATATGCTCTGCCCGGATGTATTGTTTGGCAACACCATCCATCTCTCCACAACTACCTCTTGATATTCTCTACAAATATTCCACATATTGGATGTTTCTACTCTTTCTATTGTGTATACCATGGTATTGCCATATTCCTTGTAAACATGGTCTACTTTATTTTTTCTTTGTTGTTAATAGATAACCTTGCATTTGGCTGTATTAAAATGTACATTGCTCAGGTTGAACAACAAACTTTTAGAAATTATATACAATTTGTATCTTGACAGCACGATTTGGTTTTCTGGGAGACCAATTTTCCACCAGATATTGTCTCCTTCATAAATACCATTTTTGATTATGGTTAAAAAAACTGTGTTACTAACATGTCACATATACCATTTTAGAAAAATTTAAGATACGCTATGTAAACATGTGACCTGGAAAGAACATAAAGACCTAATACTTTTCACATAATATTACTTCACTTACTAAATGAAAATGAAATGCTTAAAGATACAAGAATACTTCTACTAAACATAACCAGATTTTCTTTTCTGGGAAAACCAGAAAATTCTGTTTTCAGGCAAGCAGAGGTTAAAATTCCAGGAGTCTTCATGCTATAAGATTAAAGCTAAAAGTGAGGAGACACTGAGAGGAGAGAAAAAGACCCTCTAGAGAGAAGAGCTCAATGACTGATGTACTGCCATGACTGTGCAACTCCAACCGAAAGGTGAAGAAAGGTCTCTTACTTTCCCAAAGGGAGTGTATTTAAAAAAACTGATATACAGTACTTCAGCTATCAAAAGAAACTGTCTTAAATTAGATATGAGAAGTGTGGATTTTAATCATTGTATTAAGCATAAGGAATTTTAATGCTTTCATATAATTTCTGGGATACAGATCCTTAACTTCTGCTATAACTGGATGGTATTCTCCTGAAGTGTGTTCCTGTACAATGCGCAGCATGGCACTACAACTCTTCTAAGACCATGTTGGAGGCACAATTTTTCCAACCTACTATTGGAGTACATTTCAATATGGAATCTTAGCTAAAAATAACATTAGCTATTTATATTTAATGTTTGGATGAAAAAAAGGTCTATTTAAGGTACAATCTGTTGTCTCTAAGATGTCAACAGTAAGTAATATTATTTGAAGTTGAAAGTTTTATTTAATATTTAATAGCATGTATAATGAAACTAGCAGAAAAGTATTGAAATCTGAGAAAAGTATGAAATGCCCATCATCATTTGACTGTTATTTCAGATTAGTGATAGATGCTATCATCTGTATATCTAAGAACACATTAAATGACTTAGCTTTACCAAGTAATTAAACAATATTCAGATATTTCAATATATTCTATATTGTAGACAGTGAACCTAAATTTCAACTTGTTTGTGTCAATATGACCCAAAAAACTCGTGGGAAGCAATAATTTACATCAACATAAAGAGGATGCTTGATAAAAATCAAGTTGAGAATGATCCAGTCAGTTCTCTTTCAGAAGCTAGCGTAGTAATCATTTAGCTCAGTCAGAAATTGCATTTTTTATTCTACCAGCCAAGTTTCAGGTTCATCACAAATGAAATCCTGCTACTGATTTGATTATCCAAATAAGGACTTTTTTCCCCTAAAGAAATGAGTCAGAGATCAAAGATATTGAAAATTACACTATTTTCTGATAATTTTTAACATACAAAGACAGCAAAGCAATGGTCTTTTAAGATAAGATATAAACTCAAAGCTAAACCAAATTCATATTAACTTACTAAAAAATGAACTGTTACATGTTCTACTACCTAATATAGCATCCAAATAGGAAACTGGTATTACAGTGGGCCTTTTACAGAATAATTCAATACTTATCTAACTTGCACCTCTTAAGAAATAATCACTAGCAAAGGAGAATACTTCATAAAACCCACAATAGTTTTTTTTTATGGGTTAATTATAATTCCATCAACACCTGAAAGTTGTACTAGATCTACGCACAGAATTTAGGATCGCAGGAAGAAATTCAAATGATGAAGTACAAATCTGACTGCTTGAATGTAGTGCCCGAGTACAAACAGCAGTCTTTAAGTATCTTTTTTTCCCAAGGTACATTTATTATTTAGAATCCATAAACATTAAATAACGAAGTGATCATTCAGAAGTAAATACTTATTGATTTTAAAAAAGGTAAGAGTCCTTTTAGAAATTCCTGGATAGAACATTACATACTGATATCAATTTATTTAAGAACAAGCTCCTGTCCCATAGGCATTCAAGCAACAAGTCAATTGAGATACAGAGACTTATATAATCATAATTTAAACTTACCCTAGACTAAACCAGCCATCTGACTTAGGTGTGTGAAATCCACCCCCATAAAAATGTCTGTCTCAGCTACTGAATTCAGAGTGCTAATATCAGGGTTTGAATGTAATCTAAAGGAAATACACCAAACCTGTAACTCTTATAAAATTTGGGCTTGATGCACTTTTAAAAAAGATGTCTTTTTTGTGTAATTAGTGACACTCCCTTATCTACATTTATTTTACCTTCTGATGCACTATACTACATTCTAATTAAAAAGAAACACAAAGGTAAGGAAGAAATGTTTTCTAACAGCCTTCATTTTATTTTTTCAGTTTGATGCTATCTGTCCAGTTAGCCTTCTAGAAAACAAAATCTAAGGAAATTAAACAATTACATAATCGTATATTTTGGTTTAGACTTTAATAGCAGCTCTTAGCTTGGCCGACCTTCCTCTTGGGTTTGTTTGATTATCCGTGGCCTGGGGTGTGAGGACTTTTTTCTGTATAAAAATCCACTTTGGGTTGGATTTTCCATGGGAAAATTCTAGTGTATCTTCTTCTTTGGAGCAATTCTTCAGAGCCTGTCTTATCTTCTGCCTTGAGCCAAGATTGTACTTTTCTGTCATGTCTATTCCATGAAGAAAACGTTTGATAATACGATCTTCTAGTGAATGAAAGGAGAGGGCTACAAGACGACCTCCAGGTTTTAGAAACTTCTCAGCTGTCTTCAACCCTATAAAGAGTTCATGGAGCTCATCATTTACAAATATTCGCAGGCCTTGAAAAGTTTTGGTAGCAACATGCATAGGTCTCTGAAGCAAGTCTTTTCGTGCATACAGTGCTGATGCTGGAAAAGCACCTGTCAAATTTTTAAAAGTATATGTTAATATCATATTATTTCTACATTGCTAACCTGACACTAAACTGCTCATGCATGATCACTTTAAAGAAAGCATACTTACAACTGAACCTTGAGTAGTAAGCTTCCTTCTTTATAACAGATCTTTATTTTATGCTTTGAATTCACATTTCTGAAAGCAAACCATATTAAACTGAGCTGGCTTGTGGCTGAAAATTGGGCTTTTTTCCTAGAATCTTTCATAGAAATTCATTCCCCAGATGCCTCACTAAGTTAAAAATACAAAATAATGGCTGAAACCAAGATAGGAAAAAAATGAAGATGGGCAAGGTAAGTCAACAAATACTGAACTGACATTAACTATGCTGAGCTTACACAGCTTATACAGCTCAGTGAATTTAATGTCAGTTCAGTATTTGTTGCGGATTTTTTTATGCTTTTAAAGCAAAAAATATTAATATACAATGGACACAATCTTAACTGTTGCCTTCTAGATAATTATGCATTTCTTCACGCGCAGATATAAGATGAAGACAATGACTACCTGGTGATGAGTTTCTTTCAATGAATTACTTAAAAAGTTGAAAAGAGACATCCTTGTTTAGGAATAAAAATTGTTGACTGCTACACCTGTGTTTCATCAAATGTTCAAAAAAATACCTTGAGAAATTTAGAAAATGCAGCTGATACTGTTGCTTCTTCACATGCCTATACAGCAGAATGTGTCACAGTATGAGTTTGTTGGACAAAAAAGCATTAGATTAAATAATTTTTACTAGATGCACAAAGCTCCCTCTTCCTTTCTCCAAAATTCTTATGAGCTATACAAGTGTCTGTGGAGACTGAAATTTTGATAGAAACTTTAATATATCATTATTTAATATATTTTAGGCTTGAATCTTCACTATCTGAGTACAGAGCAAAAAAGCTAGAGAAGCCAGATTTGGTGGATCAAAGAGACTAAAGTGCAAGAGTCCTACAAGATCTGTGAAACCTGATTAAACTTTTAATCTACTATGCAAGTGAGCACAGCAGTCTGGTAAAGAGAAACTGAATGAATAATGTTAGTGCCTAACTGGAAAGAATTATTTTTCCAAACAAGAGGGCCCATTAGAGATAAGGCAATACAGCTGGTATGTATGTATTAAAATGCCTTAATTCCACGCCAGTGCTAAACTACAACATAATAAAGCAATGGGTTTGAAGTAAATGCAGTTCATAATCAAGTAATTGATATTCTGCATAGTGGAGTAGAAGAAGGGAACATAGTACCTCAGAAATAAGTTGACTAAATTCACATTTACACAGGCGATTGAAAAAGAAAATAATAGAGATATAATGTAGTATGTTGGAATAAAATAATTTATTAGTGGAACTCTTGAGAGTTTTACTTATGTCAGAAAACGTAAGTGTTCGGCATCACAAACACACAAGTGATCATCAGTGTTCAGCAAAGGGAAAGGAAAATAATGGGATTTTAAAATTCAATTATTATTAATAAAGTCATTATCATGTATGTGATGTATCTAAGATGCAGTTCTGCATAGTCCATTTTCCCAACTACATTCCCTACCTCCTCTGACTCTAACGCTAACAGTTCCTGAATTAACTGAAGAGACTGTTGTAGCTGTGGCTGTTTCCTGTTCCTACAGTCTGAGTAAGTAAATTTGAACTAAAATGAGAACTCGAAACTGCAGAAAATAAGGTTTCTTCAAACAAGAAACCAACTGACACCAAGCTTGTACTATCTGACAAGTGTCTGTTTCCATACTTCTTTACATACCTAAAAATAGATTATTTGAAAATGGAATCCTTAAAGCAGCCACTGACTGCCACTTGCGTGTGAAGAGAACTGTCTCTTAATATGTAACATTAAGGAATGCTGTGCTAAGCAAAAGAAACTATTTCTTTAAATGGTCAACTAACAGCTACAAATACTAGTAGTATGCTCAGAACTCTTGAATAGTTATTAAATGAAACAGCATGGTTTAAATTCAGCATGTAATGCATTCAAAAACACCATAGTACATGCATGTTTCCATAGCATGTGACTTGTACTCTCTGTGCATTCTTTTGGTTCCACCTGCATTGTTCCTGCCCTTGCTGACAAATTTACAGATGTGACTTGAAGAACAGTTTTATACCTTCAATTTTGGGCTGTTACTATTCAGAGCTGGTGCTCACCGCTCAAAGCGGATCCAGAATTTGTAACTATGATATTTTAGCAGTCTAAGTATTTTCTAAAAATAGTGTACGGTTTCTGGGGATTATCCATTTCTGATATTCTAAGACTATTTCAGCTTCCAAAACTATCACAGATAAAATGAAGCCAACCCACAAGAATACAGCATGTAATTTAGGTACAAAACTGACTGTGCTTCTTGATTGGGACCTAACCATAAAACCAGAAGCCTGGAATGAGATCCTTTGTTAAAATTTCCACAGTCAATCTCATTGGAACTTTAGTAAAATACTGGAAATTTTATCTCCATTTGCCAGCAAAATATTTTTCACTTATCTGAAAAAAAGCAAGGATGATACAAAGATCTATTTCAAAACTGGTCTTGTAAAAATCTAAAACCTAGACACAGCATGCTGACATTTGGACAGATGTTTTGTAGTCTGATCATGAATATTGCTATTTTGCAATTGCAATATTGAATAGATAAACAGAAGAGATGAGATACTCAGGCTGCCAGTGTGACTAGGACACTGACAGGTCTTTGGAAGCTTCTTCCATTTGTGCTGTCATGATTGCTGAGTGTGGCATCTTACAATAAACTTCTACGATGATTAACTGTGACTTTAATTTATTACCATGAATTAATTTACCACACACTGAAGAAAAATAAATTAATTCCCAGATATATTCTGTAGGTATAACAGAACCTTACATGCCTCAGTTGATCATGCAGAAACAGCACTGCAGGTCATATATAACAATGCAGAATACTAATATTCAGGAAACTGATTAAAAAATGCAGCCACTTTGCAGCTTTAAGCAAACCCCCCCCAAGCTAAAACCAAAATCAAACCATTTCCAAATTCAAAGACTTACTAGTCTGTCTTCAGAGACAGGGATTAACTAATAAATGTAATGTGGTAGTGATTTTTGTTAGATTGGCCCTAATCTTTTTAGTAAAGGCAGTATCTATGTTCCAGGGGTGAAAAATTTCCCTACCCCACTCTTAGTCCTCTGGTATAGTTAAATAAAAACCTATTTGTGCTTTCTGATAAGGTAAAAAAAAATCTCTCACCCAACCCCCTCCAATTACCATGACACTGAAAGAAAATCTTTCACGGTAACAGGCTGCGCAATGTACAAAAAAATTTTTTAAAAAAATCTGTACGGGAAGCTTGTAAAATGAATTTCATTCATAAAAACATCGAGCTTCTGGCTAGATGACTGGTTTGAAATCCCAGGGAGAGAAATTATCATTTTTAGTTTTGGGATGCCCTGATGCTACTTACACTTTTAAAAATCTAATAGATTCACATGTTGAAATGTATTGAAATTTTAAAGCTTGTGAATAAAATTAGCAACGTGCTGTGCCTGTCAATATGAACTATTAAAGTCCCCAGAGTGTATGAGAGTGGGAGAGTTTAAAAATTAAATCAGATCTTGCACCTGTTTGCAGGAATCTGTCTGTTGAATTAGCATTGCATTTAATAAGTTTCTGTGACGCAACTAATGTCCTTTTGTCTAAGCTCCCTCAGTACAGTGTTAATTCTCACCCATCTGAAATCCAGCCAATATTAGAAATTCCAAACTGATAATTAAAGTCTATAAATGTGAACCAATCTGAACGAGACTGCCTTTATCCATTAAAGTTCTTTTTAAACTTTCCAAATTTCTTTAGTATCTCATCATCAATTCCTTTCAAGTTAAGTCCAAATGATTACATGATCTCAAATTGATCTGTTAATAGATTATGTATCTAAGTAACACTGAGAAAAATTAAATTTTAAACAAAACCTAAGAGATAACAAGGTATATTATCCACTGAAAAGAAAGAGAAATATATCATCAATTGTGTGGAAAAAACATATTAAAATTACATTCTAAAAATGTCACTATTTTTAAAGTTTCCCTGCACATAGAGTTAAACCTATTGTCTCCGAACAACTCAATGAGCTACAACAAAAGCCATCAGGAAGTGTTTCTTAATCGGCTTCCACACATCTACACTCAGACCTCCAGTTGAGAACTACCAATGTCAGTATTTACAGAGCATTCATCGTTGCAGATGGCCATGTGAAAATCATAAACAGTGAGTGCAGTTTGATTGTGCTGCAAGAAGAGATGATGTTCACATGACTGAACAGAAAACTCCTTTCTTTCATGTAAACTGCACACTCCATAGATGACAAATCTCCTTCTTTAAACACATCAGAAGTTTTTTAGAAAACATTTAGGAAAAAAAAAAAGCAGAACATTTTTAGTGGGTTTTTGTATGACCTCATTCATTGGCAAGCTACGTAGTGAAAGAACTTCCAGGCTCTACATCAAGAAATAGAAAGAATTATTTTCTTGAATTGGAACAAAGGAGAGCAAGAAATCACCTAGATACCTGAGTTAGCCTCAAGCTGTTACAGGCAATCTTGACATACAAATTTACTTATATTTTTTTCCAGCTATACCTTAAAATTGTAACTCTTGCTAATATAAACTTTAGAAGTGTTTGATTGTTCTGTAGCTGTTGTGGAGCTAGTTTGTTTTGTTGGGTTTTTAAAATTACATTCTTTACTCTTATCCCCTAATCAATTAGCAACAGTAATACAAGTTCTAACATTTTGGGGGGGGATGGTAGGAAAGACTAGAAATCTAACATTCTATAAATAGAAATTTATTTTTCCAGTTTCAGGCTAGTCTAAATCTAGATTCACTGCAATTCTGGTTATAAGCTGGATCTTTGTGCTGATGTTGGCTGGAATAAGAGTTATTTTTCTTCACAGTAGTTAGTATAGGGCTATGTTCTGGATTTGTGCTGAAAAAAGTGCTGGTAACACAGGGATGTTTTAGTTACTGCTGAACGGTGCTTACACAGAGTCAAGGCCTTTTATGCTCCTCACACAACCGCACCAGCAAGTAGGCTGCGGGTGCACAAGAAGCTGGAAGGGGACACAGCTGGGACAGCTGACTCAACTGACTCAAGGGATATCCCATACCATGTGACGACATGCTCAGTATATAAAGCTGGGGGAAGAAGGAAGGGGGGACATTTGGTGTGATGGTATTTGTCTTCTCAAGTCACTGTTTTGTGTGCAGAAGTCACAGAATCACAGAACGTTAGGGATTGGAAGGGACCTCAAAAGATCATCCAGTCCAATCCCCCTGCCGGAGCAGGAACACCCAGATGAGGTTGCACAGGAAGGCGTCCAGGCGGATTTTGAATGTCTCCAGAGAAGGAGACTCCACAACCTCTCTGGGCAGCCTGTTCCAGTGCTCTGTCACCCTCACTGAGAAGAAGTTTCTTCTCAAATTTAAGTGGAACCTCCTGTGTTCCAGCTTGTGCCCATTACCCCTTGTCCTATCATTGTTTGTCACCGAGAAGAGCCTGGCTCCATCCTCGTGACACTCACCCTTTAAATATTTATAAACATGAATGAGGTCTCCCCTCAGTCTCCTCTTCTGCAAACTAAAGAGACCCAGCTCCCTCAGCCGCTCCTCATAAGGGAGATGCTCCACTCCCTTGATCATCTTTGTAGCCCTAAGAGTCCTGCTTTCCTGGAGATGGCTGGACACCTACCTGCTGATGAGAAGTAGTGAATGAATACCTTGTTTTGCTTTGCTTGTGAATGTGGCTTTTGCTTTACCTACTAAACTGTCTTTATCTCAACCCTTGAGTCTTCTCACTTTTACCCTTCAGACTCTCAATCTCATCGGAGGGGGTGAGCAAGCAGCTGTGTCCTGCTTAGTGCCAGCTGGGGTTAAACCACGACAATCTTAACACAAAACTTTGGAGTTCTAGAAAATCTGAAGCCAGAGTAGTCTATACCATGTGAAAGAAAAATGGGCTATACGTGAATTCTCAGTTACTGACAACAGCAGAGAAAGAGACATAAATACTTAGCTTCACTGGCTAGATTCTTTGCTTGTTTTCTGACTCCTATACTAGGCAAAAAACCCCCATTCATCCTGTTCTGGAGAGATAACTATGCTTATATAGAATCTGCAAAAATCTAAAATCTAAAATAACTTTTTTATTCTAATTAATATTTTATTTTTTAAAGTAATTGACATTTAAATGGTCATAGATTTTACTCTGGTAAAGTCCTGAATTAGTCAGAAGGTTTTTTGTGCCATGACAGCAAGAGGATCCTGTAGCTGTGGTCTCTGTCCCTTTAGCTCTGGCTTACATCAATAACTTTATGGATACAATTTTGCGTAAGCGTATATAATGATGATAGATGATAAACTACACAAAATATATTATAGTTACCAGAAATTTTCTTAAGGTATAATTAGTTCAAAAACTAGTAGGATCTATCACTGTGCTCCTTTACGGGAGGAATCAAATTAAAATTGGAAGATGTTCTACCCAAACAGCGATCAGTGTAACAGTCCTAAAATTGTTTTAACTACTAGCATCATTTTTAAAAAGCGCACATAAAACATATATATTCACTGTCTTGGGTATGTGCTGAATTCACTGTCTTCAGTGTATATACTATCCGATGCGTACCCGATTCACGTATCAGGCTGCTCTTCAAATATAGAAGAGAGTTTAAAGTGAGAACAAAAAGTCCTTCTCATTGTCACAGAAAGTGACCATTAAGGGATGACTCACATGCAACACATTAAACATGAAGGGATCTTCAATTGCTGTCTTTCTTGCAGTAGTATTTTTATTTTCTTAGTTCAGGCCAGTGCACAAAATTATTTCAGAAGTTATTGAGTTGCTTGTTTGCAGCCTACAACTCATTACATCTTTAGCACAGCAATCTCAATAATGGTACACTGTTATAATCAACATTTTTCAAAAAGCATAAGATAGTTCGTGATGTTGGTGACAATGACTATATTAAAAATGTAAGTCTTCAAGTTTTATAAAACACTCATAGTGTTTTATCTCTTTGGTGTTTAAAGATTGTTTGTTCTTCACATTATTTACAGCAGGGGCTTAAAACAGCAAGTGAAGTCTTATGATCCTTTAATCATATCAACTACCTTTGGACCTCGGTTGGCTGGACATTTTGCTCAGGTGTCCTGACTTGTACAAATCCAAACCTTTTAATGTTTATTGGTCATTAATAGTAAGTCTCTTAAACTTCTAGTTTAAATAATACAATATATTTTTTAAAGTCTTCAGGATACTCATACAACATTTAACACGATTTAGCAAATGTTAAATTTTGATAGCCATTTTAAAGGTCTGTATTCAAAGGAGTCAGGAGTTTAGACTTATTTGTGACAAGCCGCAGTAATTTTCATTTCTTGGTTAAAAAAAGTTTAAATATCTCAACATTACCTAATAATGTTGGTGAACAGGATTTGTGTCTTACATTTTTCCTTGAAAATTTTCACTTGAGAATAGAAATAGGAAGGTTCTCGATGTGAGCGCGGCTCCTGCCTAACTACATTTTGTTCAAGTTGTTTACACCGAAGAACAAGTAAGATGAAGTGTTTCAATAGTTGCTTCAGGGTGATCTAGTTGGCATTCACAAGCTGAAGCAAGCTATGTACTGCTTTACTTTTTGCTTCCTGATTCTTTAAGCAGACAGAAATGATCTGATTTCATTCATAACTGGAAACTGCCATGGTACTTCCCCTCAAAATATTAAAATCCAGAAATCTAAAACGAAGAGAGGTATATGACTTATCTGGTATTTGAAGGCTTATCAATAGCTGGGATAAGAATTCCCTAGGCTGCCGTCATTCTGTGTTTCAACTTGGTTGGCAAAATGATAAATCACTTCATGTAAAATCTATTATTAAACGAATCCTCAAACTACAATACAAAAAGTGGGAGCTTAAAAAAAAAGAACGTGCTGACATCAGAGCAGAATAGGCAGGATTAGATCCTGCCTGATTTCAAGTACAAATAGATCCCTCTGGGACTTTGGGGATTAATATTTTTTTCTCCTCAGCCACTGTGAAGAATTAATGAGGGTACCTGCAACAATGCTTGCAAGCTGCTGAGTTCTGGTGATGGGGTATATGCTGCGTGCCTGAACGATGGCTGAAGCGATTTTCTTGGCGTGCCTCTCCTCTCCATATGTTCTCAGGATGGACGCAAGTGCCTGTTGATCTAAAGCATTCACAACATCAGCAGCAGTGGGCATGTCAGGGTACCTACGCACAAGAAGACCCAATTAGTTCACTGACGTCAGTTTTCATTGACAAGAGGTGAAGCTTCATAGCATTGAGACATAAAGTCAAACACACACACTGCATACAAGTGCCTCTGAGATTTTCAAGTAAGAGACAGCAACCCTATGAAAACAGATACAGCTTGCACCTTTAAATCCCTTTTTCTTGCTACTTTAAATTGAGTTTGTTCCTTAACACCAATTAGAACAGCTGAAACTTCCAAGTATTATCATAAACTATGCTTAATGAGTTTGCAAGAATAAATACATTTCAATATTGCGTTAAAATGGAAATGCTGTGTGACTTTTTATTCAGCCAGCGTTAGAATATAAACTGGCCCTTTATGGGTTCATTTTAGTCACCTTGTGTTATATGTTGTTTTCAAGAACTGATTTCAGGGATCTTTTCTTTCACATCTCCTGCTATGAAAACAATTGCTCATGAAAATAATTTAACTTTACTTTTCACCAAAAGGCATAAGAATTTATATCTAAATACTACTTTGAGGCAACAGAAATGACCTAATATTACAAATGACAGGAAGTATTACAATATACACAATATAAGCCATACATTTCTTTTTTAAAAATCTCTGTCACTTAGGTATTGAAAGTGTTCACGGTATTTTATGAACATCATATATGTGTTTACTAATCACAGAAAATATACAATCTACTTAATAAATTCTTTTCTACAAAGACATGAATGTGCAGAATATTTTTCAGGCATTTAATACTCTCCTGCAGTATCTTATAAAAGACAACAAAACTTAGAAATCAGAGGCAAGTAGTATCATAGCAACAACCGTAGTGTAAAGCTTTTGTTATGCCACAGGTATCCTTTGTTCTTATGCTCCTGCTCCATGCATGTACTCTCATGATGCAAATACAAGCCTGGAGTTCAGATTCTTGAAATCTGAGGGCTGAATCCCAGGAGGATCACATGAGCTTTTTACACAAAACCAGAAAAAGCAAATATCAGGAAATTTGCTGTGTGTAAAGATAATACCTTAGAAACAGAAGCTTCCCATTGTCTCTATGTGAGCAATGAAAGATTAAATGACATTTCTTAAGACTACAGGTTTATCAAAACACAAACCAAAAATTGCATTATGCAATTGCTGCCACCACCTATAAAACAGAGATTTTCTTTGTTCATGTTAAAAGCACAGTGCTACGTAAATATAGTAGGTTGTTTGAAGATGAAAACTGCTACATAAGTAGAAATTATCATTCCACCATTGATTTTCATGCTCTTGAATGTACTAAACATCAATTCTACTAATTTTAATAGAGGTGATTTATTTGGTAACTGTTAATTTGGCAATTAAGTAAGCCTGATGTGCCTCCTACACAATGTGAAAGGAAGCTTATAATATTGCTAAGGAAAGCTTACAATAAATCTAAAGGCATGGAAGACAACATTATACCAGTGTGTTAGAAGCAATGTGGGTATCTGATTTCAACTGGCAGATATCATGAATGGGATTTTATTTATTTATTTTATATTAAGTTCCTTTTAGAGAGAAGTAACTGGGTCAGATGACTATTGCAGAAAAGAGGGAGGTTACTCCTTTCCTGAGGGAACAACTGAACGTGCTCAAGTGAAGGTTCCACGAATAGTAAGAGTGGCAGAAAAGTAAAGGGACTGCAGTAAGTAGCTGTGAGCCTGCAAGATCGAGTACACTCTAAGAAACTGCAGAAATAATAGGGCCTCAAAGTGAGATGCCCCTGTGACCCTATACTATACATTCCACAAATGTAAAATTTTAATGGCATAGCTAACACAAATGCTACTAGTTTAAATACTCATCACTAGAACTTTCCTCGTTTTTCAAAGGAAGAGACAATAACCAGGATGTTAAGTACTGAGATTGAAAAAAGCTTCGTGGCAAAAGAAAGACAGGATACTCGTGCAAAATTAGTTGTGGTTTGATAATGAGAATTATTTAATTTGGGGGGAAATGAAATGCACAGGGGTTGCTGAGCACACATTTTTTGAGTTTCAAGGAGAGATATTTTACTAACAGATACCTGTCACTATCCATCCTCATGTCCAAAGGTCCATCCTTCTGCAGGGAAAAACCTCTTTCAGGGGTATCAAATTGCATAGAAGAGCAGCCAGCATCCAGGAGAACTCCATCCAGAGTCCCTGGCTCAACTCCAGAGGAGATTAACAAAGCCTCTGACTGGCTAAACTGTCCTAGAAGAGCTTGAATCTGTTTCCTGTAAGAAAATAACAAATAAATAGCTTCAATTTTAATTATAACAGTGCAGTGTCTTCCCGTTGTA